GCAATTGAAAATATTAGGAGATTTTAATCACTGCGCACCTTGGTCGATGTTTCTAAGGATATAGGAAAGAATCCGCAGGCAGTCAGGTAACAGGGTTTTTGTGTCCTCAACATTATTATTTGCATATCCTTTCGCAACAACCTGCCGGATTTGTCCATTGGAGCCGAGAATAACGATGTCGCATACACTGACAATGTAATTTCTGCGCTACTATTTATCAATATGCCACACGAGTAACTGAATAGTATCACTTGGCAGGCACTGCCGATGGTGAACAATGTGAAAATTATTTTTCTAGTGGCAACTGATTTTATCTGTGGAAGATAATTCAGATAATAGCACATTCACAGCTGTTATTTTCTTCATTATGGCAAGTGTTTCGTGTTCTATCAAAAATTTTGAATACAGGTTTTAATGTTTATTTCGATAATTATGTTTTAGTTAATTTATAAATGATACTCTGTGATATACATTAATGAACCCTTTTAAATGCTCTTCGTCCTTCCCTTCGCAACTTGCGTCAGTTTAATACTAAAGTTCCCAAATGCAGCAAAATGGTCCATTCTTTTATTCACAATTATTGAACAGGTACATATACTTCTCTAAGAAATGACTGAATTTAGTAATACGAAAATCGTAATGAGAGTCAATCGAAATCTCATTAGATGCATTTTCAGAGTTCCCAGATAAAAATGTTACAAAAGTTAATCTGAGTGCTCGTTAATTGTTGTGTTAATATTTTATATAACGCCGCACTTACAAAGAATATTTGATACGCGCCCAGACACATGAACATGCTAATAAGCAGCACATAGAAGAAGATATTCAATCGAAATACAGACTCGATCCTGTTGCTGAATTCGATGAGCGCCTGGTGCTGTCGGATATATTTCTTCATACGCGCGTAACACTTGTCCGTGTAACCAACCGAATTACTGTCCCCGTTGTTTTCATTCCATATACTGCTCAATCTGTATCCGACTATGCGAAATTGAGTACTCAAGTACGGATTGAAGACAAGTAAAAATGATTCAATACTGATGTACAGTATGGCAGCCTGTGTTGTGCTTATCGCCTATAAAATAAGAGGAAAATTTTA